TGGCATGATGATTTTATCATACTCTGACTCTTTCAATCATTTAGATGTTACTGTTTATATTACACTTTACTTGTAGCTATTCCAGGACATAAATGTGCGTTTGATTGTAAGGGTGAAAATTGAGGTGAAAAAAATATTTTATAGGGATAAAATTTGCCTAGAAAATGATTTCAAGTGTGTTTGATTGGTATAATTTTCCACCTGAAAAATTTTTAAATTTTGTATTCGTTTGGCTTTGTTTTACATGGAAATTATCCATTAAAGTGATAATTTTTTCCATAATTGGTTATAAAATTTGTTTTCATTGCCAAAAAGTAAAAAATAATAATAATAATAATTATAATAATATATATATTGTTTCCTAAAAAATCATTTTTTTATCTAAATTTAGTGTTCGTTTGGCCTTCGTTTGCATCAAAATTGTCCATGAAAGTGAAATTTTTTTTTACACTTGATTATGAAATTTGTTTCCATTATAAAAAAGAATAAAAAAAATGAAAAAAAAAAAGTCAGAACCCAGAATTAATTTTCCCACCTAAAAGGTGGGGAAATCAATTCACCTCACGCAAGGAGTTAGGCNATATGGAAAGTTGGAAAATGTTTTCTTTTTCCACCCATTTTCCATGCTATCAAACATGGCCTAATACAAAAACGTATTTGAATTTATACTTTATAAATGCAAAGAAAGATGATTGTGATCTTGAGGATGAATATCCTTGAAATTTTCCTGCTTATAATTCCTGCCCATGTAATTCTCTATCTTATAAAATTTTAATTTTCCCCTAATATTTGTACAGGAACGACGATGTTCTTTTTCTGATTGTCTCTGAAAAAATTTGGACCTTCTTGTTTAATTATGATCAGTAATTTGAACCGTTCTTTATTTAGATATGATTTTGATTTTGATTCTTGACAGTAGAAAAGTTCATTTGTTGGTTTATTTTTAGTAGTCTGTTCAATTAATTGATTGAGAAATGTGTGGTAAATAGTTCCTTGATTGATCGATCTAGAATAAAGCCTTTTATACATTGTTTTCTTGACATTAAGTTTGACATCATGTGTAAATTGAAATTATGTTTGGCGGGAAAGTGTGTTATTTTTAAAAACTGTCCAATGTTACGTAGTCACGTGGTACAATGTTCAACTTGATGTCAAAGTTAGCTCGGACAAGTTAATGACTGGGAATTATTTCAAAACACTGCGTTCCACACGACAGCATCATATTCCGTAGTTCTTAGCTCAGACAAGTTAATGACTTTTCGCATCACATCAAAGTACCACATCCATGCATTGTCTGTCGTGAACAATATCAGTTGGTAAGCTTATTTCCTAGTTCCTACCATCTTTATATTGATTAACATCTTTCGAAAAATATACCTATTCATATTGTAATGCTTCCAACTTTCATACATGCCCCTAAATATTTGAACAGTATCATTTAAAAATTAAATTATTTGCTACAGTATCATTTCTTCACCACACATTCACACAATAAAATATTTTACACACAAACCAATAAAGTTTCTTTAAATTTTAACCACACATTCTCCAAAAAATACTATTCAAAACTCTATTCTTTCTCCCATAATGGGAGACAAACAGGGGCTGAATAGTTAAACTTCTTTTTTTCCCCCTTCTATGTAGTGTAAATAAAGCTGCATAAACATTTTGCTGTTCTTGAAAAGTAAATTCCCATGTGAAATTAAAGCAATCTAATTATTCTGAACATGTGTCATGAAGAAAAAATTCTATCTTGTTAATTAGAAGATTAGAAACTAAATAAAGTTGTGGCGCAAATGAATCCACAAGAAATATAGATGTTTTGTCATTACTTTTAGGATTATTCTTGTTGTACATAAAATCTTACTTGATGTGTGCCATAATTGACAAATGGCGGTCCCCTATATTAAGTAAAAGGTTATGTACTTGTAGTATAACCCTTATTGTTCTATATGTTCACTCACCAAGTTCTATTTGTCCAAATCCCTACCATTAATTTTTCTTACGATTATCTATTATCATTGTAGAGGACCAATCCTAATATGGTTTATTTTGGCATGCCCTGTCCCCCTCGCCCCTATAACTTTGGTGCTTCCTTAATGCGGTCAATTTGTTGGTCGGTCTATTCGGATAGTTTCCTGTTGCTTTTCTATTTTTTTATATGCTAAGGTATCTCCTTTTTGCGTGCAGTGTTTATCCTACATACTCCTCCCCTACCCATGAATAAGGGAAAAAGGGAAAAAGGCAAAAGGGAGAAGAAGAAGTCTCAAATACTCAAACTAGAGGCACTATGAAAACGAGTTCAGTGTCAAGCTCCACTATATACCTTGTGGGTTATTTCGTTCAAATATATTAACTATTTATTTCATTATTATAATGCCTTGGTATTTTTTTATTTTTTTTTCCTGGAATGCATATTTTGGTATTTTTGAATGTGTTACAAAATGTAAAATGTATCATCTTGCTTTTGCTTAAACATAAAAGAATACTATTGAAATAAAGTTTTATTCTTTATCATGATGTGATAAAAAGAATTCTAGGTACTGAAAAAATGGTGCAGTTTAATTACTTTAGCCTGCTAAACTTGCCCCTTGCTGTTGTTTATTTGTTCAATTTATTTAATTTTGAAATTACATAAAGTGAAACCAGTTAATTTCTTCCTATAAGGAAAAACAATAAAACTATTATATCGTTTTGAATGGAGAGAATTCCAGTCTAATTCATTTTAGTACAAGTGATGAAGATTACAACAAATTGAATTAAATCTAGTAAAATGTAAGAATGTAGAACTCAGTTAATTAGACTTATCCTATTCTTCTACTTAGACAGATGTTCTATCACCATTGATTTTAGATAGCATTATTCTTTTGTAACAACCTAATAAAACCTATATTACATGCAAGTAATGTGGTTGACATTCGCTTAGTTATGGAAGAGAGTTTTTTTTTTACCTCGACTACAATTTTTCTTTCCATAGTGCATGTTCGGTTTATTATTTACAGTTTCTTAGGTTGTCTTTTGGAAGCTCTATGTTTAGATATAAATTTTGTCAAAATCTAACATTAATTTTAATCACACATTCATATCCACTACCCATTATTATCCACACATTTCATGACATTCACAACTATCCTTCTTACTATATATCTTTATAAATCATTTATAAATTTGTCAAACGTAACTCAATAATCAAAAATTTATTTCAATGTACAAAATTGTCTGTGAAATTTAAAAAAAGTTGTCAGTGAAACTTAATCTGCCAGTTCACATTTCCTTCTAAACAATTTCATGTTATTAATGGACATTCAAACACTTGAGTGGACATGACTCTTATGATATATTAATATAGAACATTCAGACACTTGAGTGGATATAACTTTTATTAACTTTCAAAGTACTATATATGTAGAAACAGCTTGGAACATGTTAAAAATATTGTATGAAAAGTAATCATAATCTTGTGGGTAATACATTAAACAGTTATTACATGAGATTAAATAACTATTTAATATTATTTTATTCTTGTAATTATCACATTCTTTTTAATCTTTAGTATTTATGCCTTTACCATCTTGTAAGTACTATAATTTGAGCTAAGTACTCGTACTATTCTAATGAGTATTATGTTTTAGATTTTCGAGGGGAATGACAAATGATCAATGTCCTTTAACGACTTCTTAAATTTTGAGTGTATTTGGTAGAGATTAAAATCGGATTAAAATTGAAAAACTAGCTGTAATTGTTGATTTTTATTAGACGAGTGGAACCCAATAAAAGCTATATTTTTAATTTTAATTGTATTTTTATTGCATTGTCTTCCTTAAGTTTCAGGCCTCATAACAAAAATCATGGATTCGGTCCAATCCTTTCCCAGGAGACATAACTCTAGCTTATGCAGACCTTGCTCGAATGTGTATTGTTCGACCAGAAAAAGTCATCTCTGGATTCATGTATTTTCAGGTTTTCACACAATTTTGACAAATCTGTAGGAGTCATGCTTCTCAATTGACTGAACAAACTCCTTTAAGTGGAAGAATACAAAAAAATGAGATGAAAGAGCCCTGGTGACTACCATTGTTTCCAACCAAAACAAACCCGAAACCACCCACAGACATGGGGTTCAAGACTCCCAAGGGGAGAAGAAAACATGTCTTAAAAAATCCAAAGAGAATTTTTTGAGAGGACTTGTCAATCAAATTTATCTTCGTTGAAATTTACGGGTATCTAAAGATTAAAACGTGTGAATAGAAAAAGTCTCCAATAGGTGCCATGACTATGCCTCACTTTTCAAATGCAACTTGTTGCATATTGAAGTCATGATTTTTCGGATTTGTTGCGATTATTAAAAAATATGCATAATGAATAGTCATAAACCTTTGTATAGAATGAGACATAGATCGTTAGATCATGTCCAATATGAACTTGTGCAATCTAATGATCAAAAAGAATTTGTGCACCAAAAAAAAGAGGCAATCATTGAGAATAGATACATTGA